ACATTAATATAGAGATAAATTAAGGGAAAAATTAATATTCAATGGAAGAGGTAATTAGGAAACAACTCACAACTTTAACATTCAACAAGCTTCAACAGCAAAACCAAGAAATTGGAGTTTAACTCCTCATTTGGAGACTAAAGAATGCTAGAAAATATAAAGAAAATACTATTCTAAGTTGAGCTTAAGTATATGGAAGAAGGGATATCAAAATGGAAGAAAAAAGGGGTGTATTTATATGTGTATTTTTAATTAGTTTTGTTGTTTGTTATTTTGGAAATTACACACTTTTGGTGTATTACCTTAGTTTTTTAGATTTTTGTAATTTGTTTAGACTAGGACTTTTCTGAGCTCAAAACAGGTCAAAATCATCCCAACGATCAAAGAATGAATCCTAAAGACCAAAGAATGTGCAAAAGGGAGAACATCGTATGAAGATTTGGAGTTTTGTTCTTATACATACCCGGTCGAGTATTGACCGGATTCTCTTGTCAAAATCAAATCCGGAGAAAAATTGAACATGGCTGAATAAATTTGAAGATCTGGTCTCATACCCGATCGGGTAGACCGACATACCCGGTCGGGTATGTGTGATTTTTACAACTTCCGGGAAACTGTTAAAGGTACTTGACCAGGTACCCCGTATACCCGATCGGGTACATAACCTTGCCACCTCCAAACACCTATAAGTACACACCTTTTCCTTAACATTCATTTCACCAATTCACATATACCTTTAATATCAGTTTAGACAACTATTTCCTTTATATTTTCTAGTATGTTTAGTCTCCAAATGAGGAGCAAAACCCTTCCATCTTGGTTTTGCTACGTTGAAGCTTATGATTTGTAAGTTGTGAGTTATTTTCTTTAATCATCTTCCTTGAATATTAATTACATTCCTATTCATATTTCATATTAATATTTGAGCATTACTTAAAGGATCAACTAGTTATGTTTCATATATTAATTATTACTAGAATCGATCGACGCATACGCTTGTTAATCGTTCGGTCTTTTCAACGGTAGTAAACTTGAATTATTAATGCATGCGTCTCATGGTTAGTAATCTAACGGGAATTAATTGTATTGATTAAACCAATCAACCACTTGTGTTGAGGTTATCAGTCTCAATCAATTTCATCTTAAGTTTTATTGCTACTATCGGGTCAATATAAAACGCATGTTCTATATTGACTTCATAGTAAGTTTTATTAATGAATGCGTCTTGTTATTAATTACTTCAATGAATTGCAGATACTTCACGATTGAGTATTTGAGAGGAAAATAGTTAAAGATATAATCGGGATCGACGAACATTTCATTAAGTGGATATAAACAAAGCGAAGTCTTCATCTCTATTGAATTAAAACACATAAGTCTTTCATCTTTTTGTTTATTAAATGCTCTTAAGTTCAAGAGCAATCTTACAATTCCCCTTTGTTACGATTTAATTAAAAGAGGAATATTCTTTCCCCTATGAATACGAACCTTACTACGCTATACTATGGTATTAGTGCAAATATTGTATTTATTTCGAGACATACAACGACTCTAGTTCCGCCAAATACCCTCACCAAATCGGATGCCTTCATAACCAAAATGAGTACCAACAACAGATCGATATAGCATTAGTATTCAAAGTGGACAAAACAGAATTACCCATGGTAGCATTAGGAGGTTTTAGATATGCCACACCTCTTCGGCTGAAGCTCCAGATACTTGCGGCATGCTTGGTTGCTGTCCCTGCAGCATGCCCTGCGGCCGATGAAACCTGCCCCTGTCGCGACCTCCTCTCCCGCGGAAAGCTACAGCTTGGCCCTGGTTGTCGGTACTGACTTGAGCCCCAAACGCTTGATGTAGATGAGTATGATCTTGTTGACAAAGAAAAAGGACACGTTGTTCCGCTTCTAAAAGTTTGGGATGAAGAATGTGATGAGGTGAAAAAACCTCGGGGAATAAAGAAATGGCTCCATCCCAACAATATACTCATAATCAGGACCTAACTCAAGAAGCATGTGTTCTAATAATTCCTTGTCATACATAGGGGAATTTATTGCACCTAAAGCATCAACCAAAGTTTTATTAATATCACTTATATAATGCATGCTCCATAAATTGATTTTCTTTCTTTTTGATATTAGACAATAGACGCTTAAGCTCAATTCATGGACCGAGCTAAACTGACAGACATAAATCGGGTTTGCAAACTGTCCTAGATACCAGACAAGTGTTTGATATCATGTACATTAATCAATACATCAACGAGTGAGAGTAACAAACAACTATGATCTAATTGTTTGATCTACCCGGAGGCCGTAACCAATGATAATACTCAGTATTCACAACTTGATTATTGTTAAAATCCACTGTGTACATGGAAGGTACTTGAACGGAGCCGTCCACTATACCAAAATACATAAGAATTCCCAATACAGAACAACTATTATTTTCTTCAAGTGTCGTAGATTATCTTTGCTCCTCAATTGTCCTCGAAAGTTTCTTCAGCTCTAAAATAAAACTCTCCAACGCTGGTGCATGTCGGGCTCAACTTTTCTTACATTAACTCCAAAAATACCAAATGCAGAGGAGAATCATGTAAACCATAACTAGAGTTAAATTGGCCCTTTGTGACACATTTAAGCTAGATTAATTGACCAAAACCAATCTCAACACGCTTAAAATGCATGTTAAAGTATGAACTTATCATAGTACTTTGATTATATATTATTGTCCTCAAGCTATTTTAAAAGTGCCAATTCTAAATCTCTTTGGTGCTCACATTGGTTGTAGGAAATATGTTTCACTAGAGTATAAAGTAAACAATGAAGAAATGAAAGACGAGTATTAAAAGTTTGATAGAACAGTAAAAGAGACAAATTAATATGTTTGTGCCATAAATGCAATTACCATAACAATCAAAGGACTTAAACATGAAAAGAACACTTGAATAATCCCTTGCTTGCTTTAAATTGATTCACTTTTCCTTGAGTGTTATTCTTACACGCTCCACTTTTGATGTTTTGTCTAAAACATTTAAGTAATACGGAGTACTTTTACTTTTTCAATTGATCTTCACAACTTTTCCTAATTTTCATCTTCTTTCTTATAATTTGACTATCAGCTACTAGTCTAGTACGCAAAATAACAGTACAATTTTGAATTAGAAAATTACTAAGAACCTAATTACAATCAAGATTAACCACGTCTTTCAATAGAGCTCGTTTGTGAAGAAACCTCAAATTAGAAAAAATCACAAATACAAATATTTGTGAAAATTACAAATAAAACCAAAATTAATATAGTTTAGTAATACGAGATTCAACTTTCCCAATTTTCCAATGATAATAATAGTACAATTCCATAAAAGTCATGCTTTCAAGCCATAATAAATCAAAATAATTAATTTATCCAAAATTCAAAATTCATATTCCAATACCATTAATCTCATAATAGCTGAAGTATCCATAAAACTTCATAAGTAATACAAACTCATATCACAAACCCTAATTAAATCATATTTACGGCAAAACATACATTTTGGTTGATATAGCTTAGAAACTTTCCTCAAAGGCTAGCATAGATTCTAAACGTGAATGAACACAAAATGATCTGATATTACTGTGATAATCACTACTATTGAGTTAATGGCTTGACCGGGGGCCGGCCCATTACCCCTTAACGAAGAGCATCAAGGCCCAGCAAGAAAGGAGCCCAAGACGCTCGTCCTCGGGCCCCACAGCCCACAAGGGCAGTTAACCATGGTAGGCCAATGTTTGATACGCCGTTCGGCTCGTCCCGATAAGACGATCGACCTCTATGACCTTAGCCCCATAATGCACCAGATGGCGGTCTAGTGACCACGCAGATGATACACAGAAGACGTTCCGCTTCTACCTCTTGTTCCATTCCAGCAGAAGGTCCAAAATCATGAAGACACTCGTCCGCAGAGATGGGCGGGGAACCTAGATATCGGCGAGAGACGCATTTAATGCTGAAGATTTGACTATCAGCTAGTAGTCTAGTACACAAAATCAAGTAAAATAAGAAAATGTTTGCGAAAACTTAAAAGTAGTTTTCAAGTTTATGCTTTAAAATTCGGAGACTCCTGATTTTTCAAATGATAATTTTTACTTGAATTAAGCACTTAAAATTTAAAATTTGTAATTTAACTTGTTTTTTACTTTTCCTTTTACACAAAAACACTTTTTATGAAACGTTGTCAACTTTAACTTTGTCAAAAAATCGTTTTTTTCACAAACATTATCTATTTTTACTATTAAATTAAAGCACTCGATCTAAAATCACTTTTTATTTAAAAGTTGACTTTAATTAAAAGTAGATACAACCGCGAACACTCTCATAGTATAAGTAAGTGAATGAATTGAAGTATTACATTATACTTTGTATATCAATTAAATACATTTAAAGACTAATTAAATTTAATTTGATTGTATAACACTAAAATCATCCAAATTATTTCGTAAATTATAGTAAAGCATGAGTCTATACACAAATAAGAGCATCCATTTTTGGCTTACTATAATAACATAACTTAAATAACTTTAAATTAATATTGTTATACTTGAATTCAATTAGTAAATGTGAAGTTAGTTTTCTAGCTAAATTGGTTGAATTTTCTATAATGGATTGTTTTAGCTATTTTCATATAAAAATTTCCTTATTTTATTGATAAAATATACTACATACCCCCGTCTCTTAAAATTTTGTCATCTTTAACTTTTTAAGTCAATGACCCTCAAGTTTGGACCATGATTTTCATAAGTATATATACATTACGAAAGTTATAAATTTTATATTTACTTTTATGAAAGTATATATTTTTAACAAAAACATTTTCATATCATTTTCATATTATATTGGTCAAAATTGAACACAATTAACCAAAATTTCAAAGATGATTAAGTTTTAAGGGATGATGAGAGTTTTTATAGTTTAGCAGATTCAACCTATTAACCGCTTAGATCATACTTTCATCAATTTGAGCAGATTCAACATTATTATTACATGACACCACATTAGTATGTAGCTAGGAGCAGGTGCATGTAACACATTATCTCCTCTTGTGGATGAACATTTAAAAATATTAAATACACATCATATATATCTAAAATTTGTTTGGTATATATGTCGGTTGATATAGAGAGCTAAGCTAAGGTAGCTTATTGTGAGTGCAATAATTTAGCACTAGCATTTGCCTAATCATTGTTGTAGCCCTAAAAATCCGTATTTAGTGAGTGATAAGCTCTTTTGTTTTGTACCATTTGCACAATTGATCGACCCACCGACCCCAACTCTTACATTCTCCACTAATCATTATCATCATCTCCCTCTTCTTCAATGCATGATCTAGCTAGCTAGCTAGGGTTTTTCTGTCACAAAATTGGTTTCTCGCGATCATTTTGCAGGATATTTAAAGGGTTTCCAGCTTATTTAATAAGGTGTACGCAACGAACTCCCAAGCAAGAACGACATATATATGTGACAGACGATCGAGGTGAAGTGAGACATAGGTACGTATGTAGCTAGCTTAAATTACCTTGGAAAATCGAACCCCACGTACGTACACTAGCTAACAATAATATAGTCAAGAATCAAACCAGAAAGGTATAAGTCTACTACCTGTAATTAAGTGCTAGCTAGCTAGGTGCACTTTTAATGGGTATGTGTTTAAAATCCTCATATGAATAAGCATGGATGGAAACCCCTTAATCATTATTTCTATTTTCTAACATATTGAATGATCGATCATCGAAGTATAATATAGTCCATCAAGTTTTAATGCATCAGAACTGATTATTCTATGTTAATGATTTTTTTTCTTTATTCCGGCCTTATATAATACTCGTATAAAATGAAATGATCATTTAGAATCGATCAATCCTTTCGTACAAGATTAAAACTTATGTTTAGGTATGTCATATATCAATCTTGTGAGAGATTTTAAGATATATCAGTATATAACTGGTTGTTGGGAAATTCCCAAAATAAGTGAACATGTTTTGGAATTCCAAAATAGGGTTGCTATGTTTTTCTCCGAAATAAGAGTTTCATTACCGTCAAAATCATTGCAATATACGTAGTATACTAGCTAGGCATTAACAATATAACCAGGGGCGGAGCTAGAGGGGTGGCCAACCAGGCCACGGCCCGCCCCAAATTTGAAAATTCTTTGTATTTTTAGGATGCTTTTACTTGGACTGTAATTTGCTGGTCTGGTCTGGTCTGGTCTGATCTGGTCTGGTCTGGTCTGAACTGGTCTGGTCTGGTCTGGTAAGGTCTGGTTTCTTTGTATTTTCAGGGCCGGTCCTGACAATTTATAGGCCCTGGACAAAAAATAAAAAATAGGCCCCTAATTATATATTCCGTATATTATTGAAATGTATTACAAAAGCTTCAAGTCAAAAATAAAATTCATTACACAAGTAAATGTTTTTGTTCCTAAAAAATACTTGGTATCATAAGCCATACATAACAATTCTTTAGGCATTGTTAAAAGAAAATTTCAATTTTAAATTATCGGCTTTTGTGAGGAATGTAGAAAGTCATCTAGTTGTGTTTCGTGTGTAGCTCTGTCGTTGTGGCTCAGTCTATGGATATGAGGATTGAGGGGTATCTTTTACGGAGTATTAGAGATTTAGAGTATAAGGAAATGATTTGGTCAGGCGCACTTGACAAAATGATCTGGTCAAATTTTTTTAATAAAATTTTGTGGGCATGTTCTTCATAAAGATTAGATTATTTACACAAAATTTCAATTTCTAATTCAATTAAGAAGTTAGTTAAATAAATTATTAAAAACATTGTGATATTTAAACATACATAAAGCACACTATTTTTCAATAATTTATTTAACAGATTTTCTGATTGAATTTTGAGTTGAAATTTTTTTGACCTAATCTACACTTAATGAAAAATATACTCGCAAACTTTTATCAAACAATTTCATCCGAAAGCGTCTCAAATAGATTTGTGGGCCCGAGGTGAACGAGACTCAATATATATATATTACTCCTAAATAATTTATGGGCCCTTCTTCCTGGTGGGCCCTGGGCAGCCGCCCATCCTGCCCCTATATCAGGACCGGCCCTGTGTATTTTTATAACTATCAAAGTCTAGTATGGTCTGGTCTGGTCTGAACTGGTCTGGTCTGGTCTGGACTGGTCTGGTCTGGTTTGGTCTGGGGCAAATTACAGTCCAAGTAAAAACATCCTTAGTCTAAAAATTTATGTGAAAAAAATTATCTGAAAAAATCTTTATACCGGTTCTGCCCAACCTTCAATCCTAGCTACGCCCCTGAATATAACATGCCAATATCTGTCAATCATGATCGGCAATAATGACTCGTATTTCGTGATGAAAGCATAATAGAATTCTAAAACTTATTTACTCTAATCCTATTTAAAGCAATTTCCTTAATTTTTTTTATAATCCTTGAATGATCACACTTAGTATGAAAGTTCGTTGATCTTCACCGATTTCGATTATTATTCGGGTAGAGTTTATATACTTGATTGGGGGGTTTGGAAGGAAGAAAATAAAACGAGAGCACGTATAAGAATAGTGTTAAGAAGCCATGACACACCCAAAAACTTAGCATTTAAGGAGTTTTTCTATCACTTTAAAATTTGTTTCTTTCTTTTTATGCTTTAAAAGGTTAAAAATAAACAAGTAATGTTTCAAACAATAGGGAGCTCAACTAAATAGAGTTTTTAGATGAAAAATAAGGATGGATTATGGTGAATGATCTAATAAAACCGGGATGAGATGAGATTTTAAAGTAAAAATTGAAAAACATATACTACGTATTTGCGTAGATATTCTAAAGTCACATGTGTAAAAACTGCACCATTGTCTGCAAATACAACATTATTATGGGTCAAAGGTGCATCAGACCGCAAACAAAATGTATAAGAATTAAAATTGTGTACCGATTTAGTTCACTCATTTTGAAACTCTAGATTCATTAATACGTATTTTTCATGGGAGGAGTGATTTTTGTTATAGTCTCACAAATATAAGATCTAGCCTACTTATTAAGATCTATACTACGTATTAAGATCTATACTATTCTTTCTATCAGGTTGATCTTTTAGAATGAAATACCTCAGGTTGATCTTTTAGAATGAAATACCCATAACAATTTTCTATAACAATTTTCACTTTAATCCGGCCATCCACATATATACCCATACTCCGTATATGCTTGTTTTGCGGAGGTGTGCATGAGGAATGTCGGGTATCAACCCATAAAAAGGCTTAGATCCCGGAAGTAAGTCCACATGCTCGAACCCTACATCCTTTGCCGGTATGACCCCAACCTACTTTGCCTCCTTACACGTACATAATACGTCGACGTACGTAAATAATAACCAGAAGCTAAGGCGGGTTAATGATGTAGGATATATATATATATATATGATGGTATAATTCATTTTTAAACATTGACTTTTTTGTATTCATATTTAGGGATGTTTCTGTTAATTCTTTCTCATTTTATAGAAAATACTGTTCACTTTTGGACTTCACTAATTAATTACGTAGTATTTCTCATTTTTCTTACATTGAAAATGTTTTTTTTTTCACTTTGGCTTTAATTTCATCTATTACGTACTGTATTTCGCGTTTTTATATCCATATTAATTACGTCCATTTTCTTCCCTTTTAAAGGTTTCAATTGTTAAACAAAAGTATACTCTTTATTTTCTTAAATCTCATGACATACCTATACATATATGATATATACCTACTAGAAAAGTGAGAAGTGATCTAAGCCCTTGATTACTTAAAAATGGATGGTATAGATCAAAAGTCACGGCCAACCAAAATGTGTAATACATAATAGCAAAAGTGCATATGCAATATGTAATGGTGCACATTCAGCTACTAAAAAAATATCAGAAACAATAGTTATACTTCTTATTTTTTTTTCTTAAAAAGTGATGCACTTTTGTGTTAGTCTAATGCACTTTTCCTCAGTATTCATGCACATTTTTCACTCTATTTTTTAAAAAACTTTTTGATAATTACACTTTTGGCACCGAATTTTACCCTTAAAAATTGATCCCATCCACTCATTTTCTCATCTTAACGGCTAAGATTACTTCTTACTTTTCATATGAGGAGTACTTTTTATTTGAACCTCCCTCTACCTACTTGTACATCTATAAATGCAGGGGCGGAGCTAGAGCACTAGGCCGGACTGGGCCTATACAAAGAATATTTTTTGAAAATTTTTTACACGGAATTTTTTACACTAAAAGTATAGACATTTTTAAAATTTGGGCTGGGCCAGGGCCAGGGATGGCCCTCCCCTAGCTCCGCCCATGTATAAATGTGACTATGTGAGAGTATCTTAATGAAATTTGAGTTCTATTAATTACTTAAATTAGCTTCTATATGTGGAAAGAAATTCCACTTTTGGTCCTCTGAGTTTTGCACCAATTCCACAATTAGTCCACGTCTTTCACTTTATCTATTTTTGGTACCTGACTATTGTTTTCTTGACCATATATAGTCCTTTTCCGGTAGTAAAAATGCCCAGAGATGGACCGAAAATGGTCAAAAAAATAATAGTCAGGTACCAAAACTCGGAGGAAAACCGAAAGTGAAAGACGAGTATTAAATATGGAAACAACATAAAGTGGAATTAATTCCTATATGTTGACTTGAGAGTATAGCCCTCCATATATATGACTCCATATATATACTATCGTATATGACTTCACCTTTTGGTCGGTTGGGCGCGATAATGAAGTGATCAATGATGTACTTATTTTGTACTCCGTAATTGTTTGAATTGTTTTGGGTAAAAGGAATAAACACTATTTCTAACTATATATATTGGATACGATTATTGCATTTGGATACCTTTAAGTATAAAATGAAATAAATCAGTACTATATGTATACACAAACGTTTCTACGGGTAATATTGTTCCAATTTTCGGCTAAAGAATCCTATTCAAAGGGTGAAATTTCATACGATAGTACATAGAATTTTATTTGATACCCTACATAGAATTTTTTGGATGGAAATTTGAATAGCATTATTCGGTGAAACATTCATTTAAATTAGATATAATGAACAAGAATAATCTCAACTATTATTGATCTGCTTGAAATAATTCAAATTAAAGTATCGGTTATTCCAAAATAATCTCAACTATTGAAAAATCTTCTCAAAATACTCCAATGACTTATAATTATCCTTAATTAAACTTATATGCTCCGTAATACTTATGAGTGAGTGAAGTATTTTGAGAAAAAAATTCAACAGTTGGAATTATTTTGAAATAAACATATTTCGAATTATTTCAAACAGATCACTGATAGTTGAGATTATTGTTGTTCACTGTTCCGATCCTTTATATTAAAAGTATCAAATTTAAATTTAAGAGCATACTAGAGATAAGCTGATTCAAGGAGATATGTGGTGCTAGGACATGTGTTCAAGATCAGGAGGAGGAGGTTGGAGCGGCGGCGGCGGCGGCCCTGATTCAAAGGCGCCATGTGCAGCATGCAAGCAGCTGAGGAGGAAATGTACGGCGGAGTGCAATTTCGCGCCATACTTCCCGCCGGAGGAGCCTCAGAAGTTCGCCAATGTGCACAGGATCTTCGGGGCTAGCAACGTGAGCAAGCTGTTGAGCCACATCCCAGCCCACCAGAGGCAGGACGCCGTCAACTGCCTTGCCTACGAAGCCGACGCTCGGGCCCGAGACCCCGTCCACGGCTGCGTCGGCGCCATCTCCCTCCTCCACGCCCAGCTCCTTCACCTCCAGAAGGAGCTCGACGACGCCAACGCCGACTTGATGCGATACACAACCGCCGCCGCCGGTTTTGATCATCAAGAAAGTGCTACCCACGTTGTTGCTCATGACATCGTCAATAACCATCAACCATATGGAGGGATGCCGCCTTTATTTACGCCCGCCGCCGATCAGTCATCATCATTTGACCACTCCGAGGTTGAAGACGCTGCTGATATCTAGCTAGCAGCATTGATCGATATAATATGAGACTCACACGGCAGTGGATCAACCTAATTTAATGATGCATATCATATATAGACTGTGTTTAATTTTGTGATATACAACAAGCTAAGATACGGAGTAATAATTAAGGAGTACGTATTCGAAGTAAAATACTACTCCCTCCCTCCGTCCCATTTTACTTTGACCGATTATATGTTTATATAGAGAAAATATTGATAATATGAAAATGATATGAAAATGTTCTTTGCTAAAATTCTATCATAAAAGTATAAAATTATTATATTTTGCATAAATATATTAATTAAAATAATTGGTCAAATTTACCATCTTGGACCAGAAAAGTCAGAGATGGTTAAGTGTAAATTGGGACGGAGGTAGTATAAAAAGTAAAAATATACATCCCTAAATAAAAGACCATTTAGGATGTTTTGTTTTGGAGTGAGACTTACTCATATGGTTTAGTCTAATCTGGTTTGGTCTGTTTCAATTATCGGGTCTGAATTGGTCTGACAAATATAATGTTTGGTCTCTGTGTTTTTATAACTGTCCAAAGATGTTTTCTTTTGGACTGAAATTTGCCGGTCTGGTCTGGTCTGGTAAACGTCTGGTCTCTGTGTATTTTATAACTACGGAAGTCAAGTCTGGTCTGGTCTGATATGGTCTGGGACTGAAAACAGTCCAAAAAGGAAACATCCCAAGTCTAATCTAGTCTGGTCTGGTCTAGTCTGCTTAAGTCTGTTCTGGTCTGTTTTGATATGTTTAAGTCTGATCTGGTCTTATCTGGGACTGAAAATAGTCCAAAAGAAAACATTTTTAATATTAGTTGATCAACTCCAATAGTTTTTATAGAAATTGTTTTTTAATCTTTTACTTTATACTTTGCACAAATAAGATTACATATATTTATTTTCAAAATATGACTTATTTGATCATACTCCTATTAGGAGTGAATAAATCATATTTTAGGAAGAAAACATTAATAGTCTTATATGTGCACTTTGTCTATGTTGTAGTCTTACATAAGGAATTTTCTCTAGTTTATTGATATGCACTATTTCCTAGTGCATAAGTTTGTTATTTTAGTATTGTTTGATTGTTGTTTTTAATTGTTTAGTTTAGTTTGTGATGTACTCTATAGATTAATGTTGTAGGTTTTAATTTGTATTTTTAGTGTGTATTTTGTTGTAAGTACCATAAGGGATGCAAGGAAGTATTATAGGCACCAAAGGAAGGCAAGATGAATGGTAGAAATAAATTCTGGTAGCAAACCCGGTCGGGTTGGAAGTGACATATGAAGCCAAAAGGAAGCTACGCACCAAAACCCGGTCGGGTTGGTATAAAACCCGGTCGGGTTGAGTTGACAAGAACAAAAGAACGTGTCCAAGATCAAGAGAACGTGGGAAATATCCGATTTGATACGTAACCCGGTCGGGTTTTGACCCAACCCAGTCGGGTTGAATGTGATTTCAGCACCTTCCAAGCAATTAAGGATACCCGATCGGGTATTCTATATACCCGGTCGGGTATCAGACCCAACCACCTCAAAATACCTATAAATACACCCCCTTTTCCTCCCATTTAATCAATCCCTTCTTCCATACTCTTAAACTTAGTTTAGAATAGTATTTCTTTTATATTTTATAGCATGTTTAGTCTCCAAATGAGGAGCTAAACTTCCATTTCTTGATTTTGCTCTTGAAGCTTGTTTATTATTAAAGTTGTGAGTTATTTTCTTACTTTCTCCTCTTGATTATGAATTCTTCCCTTAATCTCATTCTATATTAATGTTGGAGGGTGGCTAAGTGACGATTAGTTAACGTTCCGACATTGATTATTACTAGAAACAATCAACGAACCGATGGTTAAACGTTGATGATTTCACAAGTAAGTAACTTCGGTTTATTAATGCACGGTCGTGGTTAATAAACTTAAGAGGGATTAATTTTGTTGGTTAAACCGAAACCGTTGTGTTGAGGTTATCAATCCTCAATTGATTTCATCAAGGAGTTAAAGAGGTTAAATGCTACTATTATATCGGTATACGACATTGTTCTATATTTGATAAATAGTAAGGGTTATTAATGAACGGTCGTTGTTAATAACTACCCTCGATGAATTGGAGATACTCTGCGATTGAGTATTCGAGAGGTGATAAGTTATAGATATAACAATGATCGACTAAAATATATCAACAAGTGGAAAGTAACAAGACCAAGTCCCTTTTTATTCTTGAATTAAATCCCATATAACTCGTTCATCTTCGTGTTTAATTTAATTAAATCACACAACAATCAAAACCCCCCTTTTTATTACTAGTTACATAAAAAGAGAGTTATTCCTTTCCCTGTGGATACGAACTCTACTACGCTATACTACGTATAGTTGTTAGTATTGAATTTATTTTGAGTGCACACACGACAAAGTGCACGTCATTTATAATGTTTTACTTCTTACTTTGAATATCTGACTTTTAGCAAATTTTATTTCCTAAAAATAATTCATGTATTCTGATCGGTTTGAACTTGCAAGTGTACAAGTGCCGATATAGTAATAAATTCCGGTAAAATACCGGGTCGAATCCACAGGGAAACGTTGTTTAATTCAAGTCCGAGAGTAGATAACTTTAAATATTGAAATGAGTAAAGTGCAGGGATTTTGATTTGTGTTTTGTATTTTTGGCTTTTCACTTTTAATTCAAGGAAACAACTTTAATTAATTCGGGTTTAAAATGAATGATAACAACGGCTAAGGCTTCGGGAATCACTTAAATGCTTTAATAGGGTTGAATAGTAGTTATTTACCAATAATTATGAATACGATTGTCGCTAATATATTCTCAACTCCGGTTAAGGTAGCGAGAGCGTGATTTTCGTTACGTGTAAGTCCCGTTACGGCTTACATTCATCTACCGAAAACCCCGTTGAATATCAAGACATCACACCCGTATCATATAATACCGGATATATTTCTATTCTCGGTAATATATATGTTTATCCTTTAATGTTCATAGTTTAGACTTCAACGTTAATTGCAAGTATAAACTAAATTTAACATACTTCTATGTTGTATACCATAGTCATAAACAATCAAAATGTAAAGGATAAATCACAATTTATTGGTTTAGAACTTTTATCGAACACCTAGTGGGCATAGAAGTTCATCCCTAGCCTTAGCTAAGAACTTATCTCCTTGAGCTCATATTAATTACAAAAGTGTAACTAAGAGCAATGAAATACAATAACATACAAGAAATAATATCTAGGACCAATTGTAGAGGATAGAAATGACTTCTTCTCCAGCACTTCAAGAAAATGCAAAAAGGAAATATAAAAACTGAAATTTAATCTTCAAGAATGGATTTATGATCTTGTTTGATGAATTGGGGGCTTTATATAGGCTAAAAATTGGCAACTTTTAGTCTATTCGAGCCCAACAATCAAGCATGGAAGATATATTTGATCAGATCATAAGGAAAGTGGGTTTTTCCGATCAAGATATGGCTGCACGTCTCTTTGTATTTTGTAGATTCGGGCTTAACCGACGCCGGTTTTAGGCTTGACCGGCGCCGGTTTTACTTCGGGGATGGAATAATGCTGAAAAACACCATAACCGGCGCCGGTTATAGGGTAAAACCGGCGCCGTTTATACTTCGGCCAACCGGGAAAATGGCAGATTTAATGCAACCGGCGCCGGTTTGGTGAAATTCCGGCGCCGGTTTTGTCCTGGGATTTTGGAGATGTTCCGCTACGAATTTGGACATGAGTCCTTCATCACAGTTGTAGCTAATGAAGTCTTCTATCCACCAAAACTTGAATGGGGTGATTTTATTCATCCAATCAAAAGATATGGATAAAACACTGAGAGGTATGCATCCTGAAATCCCACCAGCAACATATGACTTTGTTGGTTGATTGAGTCTTGTTCCCTTCATATTTTGGCCATGACGTCTTCATAACATTTGTACCTTATTGAGTTAGAATTCACATGAAACTCGAATCGAGTGATTTCGAGTTCTCTATAATAATTTATACTCGAATTATGGACAGGACGTCATTCTCTTGGTCCAAAAAGCCATGCATCGCAATGTTTTATGCTCTAGCTCTCATTCTTGAGGTATTTGCCCGATTTCTCTTCTTTTCTTCAACAAATACTCATAAAAACTTATGTTAAACACAAGTAAATATAACGGCTATCATATTCACATAGATCGCTTAACTTTATTGCCCGTCAAATTTCATTAACCGAGTAGAACATATAGAAAGTGCATAAATAGGACAAAGTTTCTAAAATTCCTAGAATAGGAGTACTTTTTAAACATAGACAAGAATACCCTGGAAGAGTTGCTGCCAGAGCTGCTCGTCACTGGAATCTGCCGAAAACTGACAAAGTTTTGAACGATAGAGGGAGTATATTTTTGAAATAATTCCAAATATATTACCAAAATAAAATTAGTGGACAAAAATGTGACTCAGTAACTTTAGTGACTACAAGTGTATTCAAATGTTACCTCGTAGTGACTATAAAACTTGCTCATAGTATCTTATAGTCACATTTTTTGTCTATGGATTTTTTTACTAGTAATATTTTAGGAAAAACCTCTATATTTTTTTTCATGAAAAGCAAATAATAAATTTATTATTAATAGACAACAAAGATACAAAGAGCGAATAACCTAAATCTACAATGGGATGAGACATAAATGGAAATGATCTAATTAATCCTTCCAGATCACTAATCCCGCAATAATGTAATCTAATCTAACAGTCTTGCTGCTCTTCTTGCTACTCCAAATAGAAAATAAAAAATTACAACTAAAAGACTCGGCTTCACCAGCCACCGGAAAGAGAGAATTGGTTTGACTAGCAATCAACAAAGGAAAATCAGTTGAACATAATTTTTTTGAATCATCGGTTTGACCAGCCACCGAAAAGGAGATCCAATTGAGCGTTTTCTTCTTCCCAGAGAGAGGCGGTGTGTTAGGTGGTGGGCGAGTAATTAAAGCATCTGAACAACAAGGTTGAAAAGGCTTTACCAACCATGAACAAAGAAAATTCACCAGATCGATTACACCGATTAGAAACACGTAGCCTCTAGACATTGCTAGGAGAATAACATACCACACGCTCACATGAAGCGGACTAAATTCTCGACCAATGAAGAAACCGGACCAAAATTCTCGTAAATAGAAATAAAAAAAATAGCGGAAACATACAAAAACTTTTGATTTGATCTTTCACATCATAGAAAATGTCAATGTCTTTCAAATCTTTTTACTGATTGAAGAAGAAAGTCCGCTAGGGCCGCCCAGGGTTTCCCCTAGGGCCGCCTCTTCAAAGTCCGCTGCTCCTATAATAGAAATTATTCATAATTGATGATTAGAGGGAGTATATTTTAATTATAGTTTTTTCATTATTCAATAAATTCAGTCAATTCAATTGCCTATATCAAATTAGTATTGTGAGAAAGATTTGAGAATGGGTTATTAAACAATTGGACACCAAACTCAGTTAACTCTTATACACTTCCTCGAAAAGAATTACAAAGACATTTTTTCTGGTCAACATAGTTTCACTTTATTTATTAGTTGTTTACCACAACAATTTATTTTGTAGAACTTTCAATGTAATTAATTGTCCACATAGTTGATTTAACTTTACCAAGTCATTTTTAAATCCAAAAATTGCAAATCAATTCATGAGGGAGTATAGGTAAAGTTTAGAGATAATTCCTTCATGAATAGAAGTAAAACATGTGACAGTATCAGAGTTGTTGTGTGCCTCAAAATCAAATCGATTAATAGTCGCACTAATACCGCGCGTAGTATATTGTAGTAAGATTAGTATCTATAGGAAAATGTATTTCTTATTTGAAAATTATAACAAAGGGTGGGATTTAAGTTTGTTTCAATTCATAATATTTAAATGCTAAGATGAGTGACTTATGTGATTTAAATCAATGAGATAAAATATTTGGTTTTGTTACGTTTCACTTGTTGAGATGTTTGTTGATCTCG